TGCCTCCGGCATACAATCGCATACCTCGCATACCATCGCAATACATCGCATACAATCGCAGTGCATACATCGCATGCATCACATGCATCACATCATCACATCCATCACATCCATCACATCCATCACATACATCACATACATCGCATACATCGCATACATCGCATACATCGCATACATCGCATACATCGCATACATCGCATACATCGCATACATCGCATACATCGCATACATCACATACATCACATACATCACATACATCACATACATCACATACATCACATACATCACATACATCACATACATCACATGCATCACATACATCGCATGCATCACATGCATCGCATACATCGCATGCATCACATACATCGCATACATCGCATACATCGCATACATCGCATACATCGCATACATCGCATACATCGCATACATCGCATACATCGCATACATCGCATACATCGCATACATCGCATACATCGCATACATCGCATACATCGCATACATCGCATACATCGCGTACATCGCGTACATCACGTACATTACGTACATTACGTACATTACGTACATTACGTACATTACGTACATTACGTACATTACGTACATTACGTACATTACGTACATTACGTACATTACATACATACATACATCCATACATGCATGCATGCATGCATACATACATACATACATATATAGATAAATAGATAGATAGATAGATATAGATATAGATATAGATATAGATATAGATAGATAGATAGATAGATAGATTGTAATCTACACCAAACCTGGTTTCATAGTTCATAACCAAAAAACATCACGGCCACACTGTGCCTCCTGTAGTTGATCTTCGCTGCAGCCCCATTTTCCTCCAGGTGACTGAGATGAACTTCCCGATGAGCGAAGGCTAGCAGTTTCTGTATTCCGTGATATTCTGCGGTTGCAAACACATGCCATCTTGAATGCGCAAATCGGCAATATTATATATATATATATATGTATATTTATAATAATGATATTTATATATATATATAAAGTGTGTACTGTTACTTCATAGCACGTTTGCCGCAGAAGAACTTCACAAGTAGCATGGCTGTAGTCCGGATGGGCTTCAAGAAATCCTGCCTTCTCAATTGTGAAGCCTCTACAAAGCAAGCATCATCCAGCGATTGTTCTCAGCCCCCCAATCTCAAGGGCGGGGAGTACCAATATATATTATTCACCACTGATGCTATATCATAATGATATAACCCGCATTGACTTCGGCACCACCCTCGTGCACTTTGCACATCATGCCAAGCGCATGATGTTGATCGTGAAATCAATGCAGGTTCTTCAGTTTTTCACCCCAGGCGTCAACTGCTTGCACATGATTGGGAGGGCAAGCTCTTCCCAAAATGTGCCCACCGCACAAGCACCTGGATAACAAAACAAGTTGGACTTTGATGGACTTTAGCATTCTCTAGATGCCTCTGGGATTCTTCCTCAAGGCAACTTCGTAGACATAGAAGCTCTTCTGGTGAAGTGCAAATCCTTCTGCAAGCCGCGTTGACATCAGCCAAACAAAAAAAACTGGCAATTTCAGGATACGCGGCTGGGCAGTTATCCCGGCAAAAGGCCAGCATGCCGCGTGCAAACCAGGCCCTGTGATGACATCACAAACTAAGCTCGGCCAACAGTCTAGCTACCGCGGTGGACGTGATCTCTGCTATGCGAACACCAGCCAAATCTTTGGAGGGGTGGTCCAAGATGAAGTGGTCGCAAACATTCGCAAACACCATCCACTGCTGCAGCAACGAATGGCACAACGGCGCCCAAAGGTTTGGCATGAAAACACCGCCAGCTGTCGGAAGTCCAATCATCGCGAAGATGAGCCTCGTAGAAGTAGAGCACCGTTGAAACCAGGTTGCCGAACTCCACCACTTCCAACATCCAACAACAGTTCAAAACCCTGCTTGGCCTTTGTGAAGTCGTGAGTGAATGATTGACGGGGCTTGCTTGCGAAGGCCACCCCGCCACACACTTAGAAACACTTTTTGAGTGGAGGAAAAAAGGCCATGGATAATGGAATTATGTTCAACACAACAATGGCCACAGACAGAGAAACGAGGCAGCTACAGGCGCCTTGAAAGGGAAAGCCAAGGCCATCATTGAAGCGGGTGACCTGAAGTGGATGCTACACATTGGATGGCAGATCTCGTCAAATCGTCCCAGGAAACACCGTGTGTACTGTCTCTGTTTCTTCATTGTACCTAGGATGTTTTAGGATTTTAGGCTTTAGGGTTGGAGCTTTGACGGGTCTGAGGCTATTCATACTAGCGCTATAGTATATATTCTTATTCTGCAGTTATTAAATATCTGACTATCTTGCAATTCTGAACTTGTCTGTTTTACATCTCTTTTCCACATTTAAGACTTATTCTTCGGTGGCTTTGTGCGAGAAAACTGGCGAAAAATCAGGAGGACTGGATGCAAGCCAGAGGGTCATTTCAGATGGGTGGGAAGCACAGCCCCAGTCCCATGGCACACCGGCCACCACGATGCAAAACAGCATGGTACAAAACCAAAACAATCAAAACGCAACAACTTTAGCACTTCGGAATAGGATCAAAGAGTGGAAAACATCTCAAACCGTGAACCACTGCCCAAATGCAAGGTGTTCTTGTCCGAAATCCGTGTACAATCGTGTACCCGAAAACCAATTGGTTTATCATGATCTAGCATCATCTAACTATGTTTCCCACGAAAATGGCCATGTTGATCCATGTTGTGGTATAAACCATTCTGAACTAACCTATGTGAGGGGATTGTGAGGGCAGCAACGACCCCCAGCCCGTCTTTGAGAGCACACCAGGACGTGTTGCCTAGGCCATCACAACCATGGCTGGGGTGATGGCATGATGAGCCCAATATGCCCAGTGTCAATTAGTTCCAGTTTTTCCATGCATTTCCTGGGTTGAAACTTGTGATGTTAGTGGATGTTCATGGATTTTCCGCACACCAATGAGGGGTGGACTTCGCTACCACTTATTCTTATGCGAAGTAAATGATGCCAGCTTTGGGACTGATTCCCAGCAAAATTAAAGCACGGGAGCATCTGTGAAAGAAAAGCTCTGCTAGTTGAGCACTGGCTCACCCATAAATAAATACATAAATATATTTGTGTATGTATATAATATATATATATATATTTACATATATATTTATTTACATAGATATCTTAGATATCCCCAACAACATTCATAAACAGCAGGAACTATGGCAAGCCCCAACAGCTGGGAAGCCAGGCCATTGCCGTCCTTTGGAAGCATGGGCCGTGGCAATGGTCACCGCGTCCCGGCCCCGGCCGGCCTGGTGTTCACCATGCTGTTCCCATTGGAAGATGTGTTCTACATCTGATCATGCAACCCCAACTGACAAAGTCATTTAAGTCACTATTTAAGTCACTATTTGTCACTATCTGTCACTATGTAGCGGAACTGTCTTCTGTTTTTTTTCATGTTTCTCTATCCTTTTGGGGTTAATATGGGTTAATACTGTCTATATACATATATATATACCTAGGTCTCAGAGATCCTTTTTTTTAAAGGTCTCTTTCAGAATACTGGATCATGGGTTGAATTACAGGTTCTATACCGTATTTTAGGCGTAAACCCCGTATTTCACAAAAGGGCCGTATTTTGAGTACTTCCAATTTCATCCAATTTCCACAGAATGATTTTTGGTTGGCTTCAAAATGTTCTGACCAATTTATACATTTAATTCTGGGGTTTATAGAGACAAATCTGGTTTGGTCTTATCCAAAAGGATCTTACTACCCAAGCACTGCCACGCCGCCACAGAGCAGCCCGCGGCATAGCGTTTTTTTTTGCCCTGGCTGGTGCACTTTGTCGCATATGGTGCTTGACCTCAGAGGTTGGGATGCTGCAGGTTGCATGGCACCTTCTTTTTCAAGGGATATATTCTATGATGATCTTAAATAAATGGGGTGATATCTCTTGGGTTGGCTTCTAAAACATATCCCCATATCCCCACTTACAACATGCGTGGGGTGGACCCATGTAACAAGTACTGTAGTTGCTTTCTTGGATGAGGTTGTTTAAAGGTCATAAGGTGGGCACTTGTTTTACTACGAATCTATGCTGTTACTTGTTACAATCTTTTACTTCACGAGTCCAGTCCTATCCAAGGATATGAAAATCTTTTGAACAAGTTTCTTGATCACAACAAACCACCTGCCAGAAGCTATTTTGGCTCGACTTTTGGAAGGAAAGTGTCTCCTACTTTGAGCGGTCACAATGGCGGCACTCATGCCTGAACTCCATGATGTTTCTCGGGAGTGGGAGCAAAATGAAGAGATCAGGGCTAACCTCAGGAAAACCAAGAATCTTCTTTTTAAGGAAGCTTGGGAGGATGAAGTGAAGGTTAACATCGCCCATGCTTCCCAGAACTATGAAGTTCTCAAGCCTTTGGTTCGTCGCCTAGTGCATTCAAGTGGATCAGTGGGCCAGCATGCGGTTGGAAAGATCCGGAGCCAGTTTCTTGTTCTCCATGAGTGCAGGTTTAATTTTGTAACATGTTTCAAAAGCAAACATGTGTTTAATTTCATTTGTCTTGCAAATCGTTGGCAAAATCAACATATTTTTCCAATACATATTTGTCCCAACTTTTCGATCTAAGGATCAAACTTCTCTACATGGTCATGTCCCTTCCTGTCCCCAGCAAGGGTGAGTTGAAACGGTGTGCCAAGACCCTCAAGAAGTTTTGCGTGTTGATCAAGTGCAAACTTCAAAAAGGTCAATTGTGCAGAGACTACAAGTTCAGGAAACTCATGGCTTTGGTGCATGACCCGGATGAACAGAATGATGAGGACGAATACTAACAACAAAAAAATGTTACAGGGATATGGTGGTACATATGTTAATTTGGAGATGATGCTGTAATTTTTGTTCATAAAAAAAAAAAAAAACATGTTGTTTCAGTATCTGTGAACACCCGCCCAGCCGCAGGACATCCAGGCTCAGGAAGTGCCCAGCGGCGCTGAATCTGAGGCCGAAGAGAGTGGACTCAACCAGGAGTCAGATGAGTCGGAGGAGGAAGGGCAGGAAAGGGTGGGTGGGAATCCATTGGGCCAGGTTCCAGATTCCCAACCGCTCTTCGGTGATGTTGATACGCTTGAGGAAAGCCTTGCCTTGTTCGAGACACCAAAGAAAAATATGGTTTCTGCACCATCACCAGTGGGAGCAGCAGTGATGATCGAAATTCCAGATACCCCATTCAAAGTTGAAAAGCAGGACTCCCCCAAAGAGGCAGTTGATGATTCTGGGGTGGCTCCCATTCACAATACTCAAATGGTAGAAGAGGCAGGGCCAGGTGAGTCAATGGAAAAAGAAGATAAGGTGGACAAAAGCTGGGTAGAGAACAAAGAATGGAGGGAGGAGAGGATCGCAGAATTGCACCGGCAATTAGCTGATGCACGCAAAAAACAAACATCTTTGATTTTTGCCTTGTTTGGTAATGTTTTTCCTTTCCAAAGAGGGGGGTGGTTCTTTTCTGACTTGCAGGAAAAATTGCATAATAGTTCTTGAAATATGACCAAACCTTTGGGGGGTTAAAACTGTTGGTCATTAAACCATGTTAAAAATATAGTTTTTTCAGCCCAGGAATGCCAAAGCTTCGCTTGCAGCGGAAAGTGCATCGAATCCAATCCCAGTCGTGGAGTCTTTAGGCTATGCTTACGACGACGTGAACACCCAGGTGCATCCACTAATGGAGGAGATGGCCAAGTCTTATCATCATGAGGATGTCGTTGATCATGGTGACAGCCAATCTCCCATCCCTCTTGTTCCTTTCATGGTCTCTTATTTTTTTTGTGTGTGTGTTTCTCAAGTTTTTGATTATATGTTTAGTACCCTTTTGAATTTCCAACTCAAAAACAAATAATGTCTAAGATGTTTTTCCTTCCGACGGGGCTTTGCATATCAGGTCACCCGGCGCCAGCAACTGGGACTCAAGTCTCAAGGAGGCGATGCCGAGGTTGAAGGAGAAGTGCCCAGTGGCAAGGGAAAGGGGAGAGGTCGAGGCAAAGGAAGGGGAAAGGGTAGAGGTAAGGCAGCAAAACGAGCAACACCCATGGAAGGAAAGGATGAGCAGCCATGCACGACAAATGAGGAGCAACAGGAGGATGAGTCTGAGGAGCCTATGCAGGTAGGATCAGGTTCAGAAGATGATGATAAGCAAGAGCAAGGCTTGGAGGAAGATGGGAACAAACCAGCTGATTGTGAAATCCCAGCCACCCAACCCCGACCAGCCAAGGAAGGAAGGAAAATGGAGGAGAAGCCAGGTGAAAAGGAAGATGCTGACAATAATGAGGACACACACAAGGGTGATGGTGGAAGCAGGAAAAAGACAAGGAAGCAGAAGGAGGATCCCGCCAAGAAAAACAACCCCCCCAAACCGAAAAGAAGGGCCAAGAAACAAACCACGGAAAAGAGCGCTGGCAGTAAGGAGGAGGATGACAAGGTAGAGGATTCCAAAGGACCAGCCACAGAGGAGGAAGAAGATGTGCCCCGGGAACCCGAAAGAAGGCCAAGAGCATCGAAGAGCAAGGTTTCCAAACAGAACGCCAAGGCAGCCAAGGAGAGCAAAAGCGGGACCAAGACAAAAACAAAGGGCAAGGCACTCAAGAGAAAATCACATGACAAGAATGAGGACGAGGAGGAGGAGACAGAATGCAAGACCTTGGAGGCAGAGAAGCCAGCTGGCAGCCAGAGCAAAGCACCTAGAACACGACAAAGGCGAAAGACCAAACAAATTGATGGCAGTGAAGGCAGTAGCAAGGAGGAGGAAAAGGTGACTGAGGAAACTGAACAAGCAGATGCCAGCAACGGCACCTCGCTCAAGAGGCTTAAAAGCACTGCTGCACTAGGGATGCCAGGAAAGGTGGATGTGACAACACTTGAAAGTATGCCAAAGGCAAAGGCAAAGGCACGAGCAAAGGCAACGGCAGCAGGATCAGGTAGCAACGGCAGGAAAGCAGGCAAGGAGGGGGATGAAGAGACACCAAAGAACCAGCCCAGCAAGAGGCAGAGGGCTGCAGTCCCTGTTTGCTTTGCAAAGCGCAAGTGCCCTTCCACGGAGTGGGGTAAGCTCAAATGGGAGACGCTAAGGAAAGTGTTTGAAGAATCCATCAAGCCCCACTTGACGACATACAGCGCCCACGAGGAGAGCTAGCAAATCCAGGGGTAAAAAAAACAAACGGCTGGAAATCAAACTGCTCTAAGATCTAAGACTAGTTTGTCAAAATTGTTTTTTTTTTTTTTATGTGTTTTTCTATGTTCAATATGTTCCTTATAAGGGTGGCAGCTTCTCAAGTTTCAAATGATCCTTGCTGATTACTTTTCCAAAGTTAAGTTCGACATGACAACCCTTCTAGCCCTGGCCCATCCAGCAAAGCCTATTATATTTGGGTATGTTGCAACATCTGTTGTTACCTTGGCCAAGAACAGAAATTATACATTGACATTTGTTCACCACATCATTGGAACAAACATAGTGATACTAGCACAAACCCAAATCTGGCAAAGGATAATGCCACGGTACCTACCACCCTAGAGATGCCCATAAGAAAGTGTTCCAACCATTTATTTTCACACCCCCCGTCACCACATCACCAACTACAGTATCTTTGGGGGTGTTCTTATAAATGGGCCCTTGACCTTTGCTAGCCCCTGTCACAGGACTGGTTCTGGATCTTTGCGTCAGAGCAATGGAAAGGCCTTGAGGTCACGGAAGAGAATATCAAGATGCTTGCCGACCGTGCTGCTGCGACCTACGTGGCCACTTTGCAGTGATCGGCCCCTCAAGGGGACATCTTGTAGGAACTTTGCTTGTGTGCTGAGTGGTGGGGATGGCTATTTTTAAGAACCAGAAACTGCCAAAATCCACGAGCTACCTATTTTCTATGCATACATATGTTTAACACCACCAATGGGTCCTTGAACTCTAGTTCCACACACTATATGATTGTTGCATGGATTCCACCCACTGGCATGGCAACAAGACTGTGCTGGCTGTGTGTTTATACACAGTGGCAATGTGGTGCCAGCATTTCAACAGAAGTGCTTGCTACTAATCTTAAGAAGCGGATCATTGGATGCAGTTTGCGGTAAACTGCGGCGAAGGACTAGTGGGGTCCTCGACACCTGGGTTGCTACCACTTATATATGTTTCCACCAGTCCTCCCACAGATTCATTTTATCAGTGTAATATATCATAATATATTGTATAATCATATTTGTTATTGCTATGCATGCTTCAAGTGAAAGCTACAACATTCTCTGAAGGGGTCACCTTAGCAACCATCAGGTTTCGACTGGTTCGGTGCACAGCCCGCTCTGCAACAAGCTGAGAAAAAAAGTGCCTACTTCCTCAGGTTGCTCTTGGTTCTTACTGACTGAGTTGGTTTGAATTTGATTTCCCATCAGAATGGAAAACATAGCGAACAATTGTTGGCAACATTAGATTCATATTCATATCCTTCACTTTTGCTTTGCCTTGTTTGGGGGGGTCACCCAGGTATCGATTCATATATAATTAATATACATTATGTCCTTTACCCCTTTGACATGGAACCCATTCAGAATTCAACCAGCCGATCCCAGGTGCTGCTTCAAAGGCATGGATAGAGGCCCAGCTTGGCGGGAGATTGGTGACAATGATGCCAGCAACACAGGCATGTTTAAGATATGGAAACTTTGGAACATCAACCATGCAATCACTTTTGGTGAAAACAAAAGAAAGTGGTTGGCCATTGGTGGAACAAACATGTTTTTCACACCTCCCTGATGTGCAAGTTTGGCCACCTGCCCAACGTCCCACTAGCCTGGGATATTGTCGTGTTGACACCTCCACCTGCCATGGACCCGGCTAAATCGGACAAGCTGGATACTGTCTGCAGACGCCTTTATGGACTTGGAGCCCCGAAGGTGGGGTAACACACCAAGGGCGGAGATGTTTGGAATCATGGGGTCTTTATCCAATATAATATATAATAATATGATGTCTGCTCCCACCAAAAAAAGGTAAGCCCTCCAATCAGCCATGGTCTCCCTTGCTCCTGCCCAGTTGCTTCTGGGTTGCATCGTGTTGCTCTCGCTGAACACGGATATCGAAGTTTTCACCCAGGCTTACTTGATGGGGAATTGGGCTGCATTATTCTCAAAATCTTGAAGTATCCCATGGATGATGTACTGTAAATTATCCTTTGATTGTTTTCCTTGTGCTAGGATATCAGGACTGATTGATATGTCTATATGGTTGGTCTTAGAGGGAACTGTAGTAGAAATTGTAAGGAATTGTAAACATCTGGAACCATATGACCCACAAAAATCCTTCCAATTGCTGTTTCTCTCCAGGCTTATGGATTTGTGGAGCTCTTCTGTGGCTATGGATGGACTTCAGCTGTTATGAGGAGCCACAATGTTCATACGGCATCTTTTGACATTGAACTTGGCAATCCTCCGGAGGGTAAACAGAACAATATGGATCTAACGACCCCAGCTGGATTTGGGCCACTCAGTTGCCACATGTATTGCACAGATTGTCAACACCAACCATTTTTTTTGTTATAAATAATCCATACGGGTTTTCACGGGATTATTCTTTAAACAGTCGAAACAAAGGGACTTGTTCCTATGCTGTTTACAACACCCGAGGCTAGCCTTGGTAACCTTGCTGAACTGCAAATTTGACAACTTTCTCACACTGGTTGGCTTATGCTGCAAGAGCTATGTCACAATTTCGAGTGGGACACATAAACGTGAACCATGGAATCCCTTGGGCGATTGCTCCATAGACATGGTGGCTCTTGGAAACAAGCTCACATCAGTGACTTTTGGCTAAACTGATCCAGATTGTTTCAGACTTTGTTTTGATCAACTCTGCTGAATCCAGTCCAAATTCTCATGTGAAATCCTAGCTCAAAAAACAAAGTAAAGCATATATATCTCAACATCTTACCCCGCTCCAAGGACAGTGCTTCTCCTGATGATGGTTTCAGCCCTCAATGGGGCCTGGCTTTTAGAACAGCCCCGTTCATCACGACTCCAAGGTCACCCCAGAATAAGACAATTGTGGCATGCTGTTCCCAGAGTCTAATTCTCAGAGGGATGTTCGAAACATATCCAAAATTACAGATAACAAATGCAATTACCAAAATGCACATTCCATACCTGGTTCTCCTTCACATCCCACAGCTTGCATCGCCCAGGTGTACGAATCGGCCTGGTGGATGATGTTGTATGGCTCCATCACGCCAAAGAGGCACATTGCTTGGTCGAATGCTCGGACTGTAAAGGTCCTGGATCTTGGCCGGCTGCTTCGGGAAGTCAAAGAAAGAATGTCCAGTAAAGTTCGCAAGAGTTCTAAAACCTATCGGAACCGCCGGGGTGGCAAGTCATTTGTTGGCACACGCCACTTACGTGCTACACAGATACTTGAATCAAAGAACCAACATGTTATATATGTTGATGTTTTTTTTTTCCGGTAAAGCATACATTGCTTTCACCTGGGTGGTGCTAATTCCATTGTTCTGTCACCATGACTTTCACTACCATTTCTTTCAACAATAGCTAAGGACTTATCCTCCACGATTTGCAATGCGCATTGCGAAGTACTATGATAGGTTCTGTTTCAAGCGGGAGGCACTCTGGTCAACAACAGATACTTCCAACCTTACTGCCAAACAAATCTTTGATCGAATGCCCTGGGATGAGGATGGCTGGGATGATGCCGGTCTGAAAGACCTGTTTCTATATCTTAGAGGGGCCAAAGGTCTTGAGCTTGGTGATTGGCGGCCATACTTCCCAACCAACATATAATCCAGTGCACCTTACAAACTTTATGGGTATCCCATAGCATCCCACTAGAAACAATAGAACAACATAGAACAACATAGAACAACAAGAAAATAGAATCTGGGGATGCAAAGAATAACGCAAAGGGTGCTAACTGGGAAACATGTTGGTGGGGTCTGCAACCTTCTAATTAGCAGGTGTTTCATAGAAACATCGAACATCATCGAACCATATTTACACCAGTCGCCAAGGGATGCAAAAATCTTGATGGGCTGCCAGTGGGTGTTTTGACTGCTTCTATTGGGAAATATGATGGCTCTTTTGGTGGAATATGATGATTTTCAGTGATTTTTTGGAAATCCAGGGAAATACGTATTTTTTACGTATTTTTACGTATTTTTTACGTATCTGGTACGTACCGAACCCGTACCCCGTAAAAGGTGCGTAAAATGGCCGTAAAAGGGCGTAAAAAGGCGTAATGGATTACGTAATTTAGGCGTAATTTGCCCGTAACGGGATCATCACCATTTTGGAGGCTATTTGAGCAAAATAAACCAATTTTTGGGAATATTGAAGATGTAACTTTGGTGTTGGGGAATTCTTGGGTTTTGAAATCACCAGATCACCAGATCATTCAGCTTTGAAAGATACATTTAAGATCATTTTAGTTATTTTCATCTATGGGATTGGATAGTTATGTTCTACTCCAATGGCATTTGGTCGTTGAAGTTTTGAATATGAAATCTACATAAGACGTTCGACCACCAACTTTGTCCCTATCCCATTGCTGAAGTCCTGGCTCAGGGTTTCAAAAGCCCCTTGGTGTCCTGCAGGGGGGGTCGGATGCCAAAGTCAAAAAAGGAACCAGGAGCAGTGGTGAGCAAACAATGGAGTTGCTCGGAACTAGTTGATGGCAACAATGCTTTGTTAAAGGCAAAGCGTGAGAAGGATTCACCAGCTTCGTTACAGAAGAAAATCCAGGACATATGTTCAGTTCAGCCATCAACATTTTTTCCAACTTCTGGTACTGGTTAGCAAGTCGCCTCTCACAATATACCATGCCTTTAGGGCCTAACTTTAGGGGTTGCCACTTCCTATCAGGAGTATGAGGCAGAATTGGAGAAATTGAGAAATTCTGCATCCCCGGATGTGACTTGGCTCTTAAACATGGCTTGGTAACCACACAACTTAAACTATATATACAATATTTTTACAGTCAACATTTGTTGATCAAGCCTTCATTCCTGTTGTTGAACATTGGGAATTTCCAAGGATGAAACCCAACCAGCTACTTGGCAGCACCCCTTCTTACTGTGTTAGATGCCAACTAACATGGTACAAGTGGTCCACTTCTAGTGAAATCTCTGGTTGCCCTGATCACCCTAGGCTTCAGAGACGGAAGTTCACACGAGGAAGACAAAAAAACAAGGTGAAAAACCAGTGAATGCTACCGGGGCTACCACACCTCTGCCCTCACACAGCTCCAGGACTACAGAGACCCCTCAATCGCCCCCGGACCCACCAGGTGGGTCTGGCAACCCAGCGGCCTTGAAGAGGTTGAGGGGAAAAGGCAGCGATCCTGATAAGGACCGTCAGATTGAGGAGCTTCGGAAGGCATGGTTTGATGTTCAAGATACTGATAGCAAATGTTAAACTTATCAACACAATTCGTGTTCATGAGAAAGCCAAGAACAACATTTTGTGGGCAAACAATATTTTTCCATGATTGATGTGATGGATGTCATGATAGTGTTGGGGCAGCTACTGAAACTGCGCACCTTTCCTGAGATTCAACCTGCCTACTGTTCATCCCTTAATTTTGGCATGGACCCTGATTCTACTTTTAACTCTTCCAAAACGGCAATTTAACATAGTTTTGTTTTAGAAAAAGTAGATCGACCCCCAACCAAATGTGTAGGCTGGCTTGAAGATGCAGTTGGAAATGGAAAAACTCAAGCAGCAGATTGATGACAAGAAGAATGCAGGCAGCAGTAAGGAGGCTTTCACACCAAAGGAAAGTGATAGGATGACAGCTGCCAAGACCCTTCCAAAACCGAAGAATCCCCCCAAGCCAGTTGAAGTGTCTGAGCCTGGCCTTCCAGCGCCAGCGTCGGAAGCTGCCAAACGAGCACGTCTTCGCCGCCTGTGCGAAAGAAAGCCGTCAGGGCGCATCTTCGTTCCAGAGGAAGTGCATTCCAAGTGGAAGAATGCTAGCTCTGATGAAAGAGATGCCATGGTTGAGATTCTTGAAGCCAACAACTGGTCGAAGGACCAATCCCGAAATTGTTTTCTGTTGGATTGAACATTGTTTCGATATGCACATGCATGTTTAGATGCTTCTCTTACTTCTTACTGTTTCATTCATCAATGCTGATTGCAACTTCTGTAGGAAGTCTTTGTTTCGAAAGTGACCAAGAGCATTCAGAAGACTTCCAAGTTGAGTCGTCGCAAGAAACGTGGATGGTATACCGAAGAAACGATGGCAACGGTCTTGAAGTGGTCTAAGTGCCTAGGTTCCATCATACATGATAGGTCATATGTGGTGTGTCATAATCAAGCCCCTTTTTGGGGGGCTAAACAACAGTATCAGTATAATCCGAACTGCCCAGGTCCTACATCAAAAATGTTGTGGCCTTCTGCAAGCAGAAGGGGAATGAACGGCTGATTCGGATATTTGAATGCAATCAGGTTCATAGTTGTGTTACAATTCCAATTCATTCGAGATTAGTGATGGATGTCCAGTAGACCCTTTGATATCATATGTTGAACTATATTCATATTTACTTGGATTAGTTGGGTCTAAGGAAAGATCGCTACAACAAGAAACTGAACAAGTTCTATGTTGTTTATGAAGAAGGCGATGAGAATTTGAGTGAAGATGAAGAGATCGAACGCCAAGATGATGTCCAGGCCCCCTTGCCTGCTTGTTGGATGTTTCTCCAATTTCACCAGTCCACGTTGGTCTTCCCACTGCCCACTGCCACTCCTGCAGGAGCCGACTGCTGAAGTGAATTTCAGCAGGGTTGGAAAGGGAATGCGTACACGTGCCCCTGAGCCTACTGTTTCGGAGTCTGAGTCAGAAGATGATGATGAGAAAGAGTCCAAGGCTGACCAATCCAACAGTGCTGAGAAGGAAAGGGGTACAACAAAAAAGGGAAAATCTGGATCTATATATATATATATATATGATCGCTTAAAAAATGGGAATAATTTTCTATGAAGACCCCTATGCCCATGTATATACAATTTATATATGTATATCCCTTTATCTCACCGCTGAAGGAACTGGAGCGCTTCAAATCCTTTGGCTCGAGCCTCCTCAGCAAGGAGGCGAAGCTGCAGGACCTTGTCACAGACCTGGAGCAGGCTTTGGAAGAGTTGGGGAAGCCAGCAGACTCTGTTGATGGAAAACGGGTTTCAAAGTACATTGCTTAGTTAGTTTTTCCTCTGGCTTTGCTGAACACTTCTGGCAGTTAACACTATCATAGCAAACATTTTTTGTCCTAATATATAATATTTCATAACCTAAGTCGGTGGCTGCACTGGAAACTTCTATGGAACTTCTTCGGGAGCAGTTTGTAAAGTGCGATGCTGTCCGTGCATCCCTTGAGAAGCACAAGAAGGCCCCATCTGGAAGTGAAGGTGAGAAAGAGCCCCTTGTTTTTAAAACACTTGGGGTTGTTGTCATTCAAAACTACTTTGCAAACAACTTTCCTCTTATAACTTTCGTCATAGCTACTGGTTCAAAACGATCCAAGGCTTCGTGAGAAGATTGAGAACCAAACCCAGTCCACCACGGTGGCGTGCCTTGGCATCTTGAAGTCGATACCCATACCACGATCCCACATGGTTCAACCTGGCGCAACCAGCTGATCAGGTGCAGCAAGGTCACCACCAGTGAGAGCAGTGCCAAGACCCTTGGTGATATTGGGTGGGTATTTGACACTACTGAAGATTATGGATATGAATACATCAATCATTGTAATTAATACATTGTAGAACTACTGATGCCATATTTTGCAGACCTATGGTTGGATTTGCCCAGGAACATTCTCAAGTCGCTCCGCAAGCTGATCACTGCGAAGGAGGAATGATTCACTGAGACGGGTCACACAAATGGTGCGTGATAACATGCACAGTTTTGTAGGATGTCAATGGGTAACTCTGCATTGCTGATGTCGCAGCAATGTATTTGAGACGGTTGATTGTAGGATAGCTGTCTTTTCAAAGACCTGAAGCTTTTACATGCTTCTTAGCGTTCGAACTTTGAACATGGGATGAAACCATGCATCGCAAATGTGCCATGAGGTCTGGAAAAAAAAACATGATTGGACCCCTCTACAGTATGTAAGGGCATGTGAGCACCTGAGTTGAAGCTTGGAATCTTGCATTTCCCAAACCTTGTCCCTACTACCCTTGCCCATGCTAAGCATGGGTTTTCATTCTTTTGGTTAACCCGGCTCATGCCAGGTCCTGGCCTGCGTTTGCTGCCGCATTATGCGAAGCTCATTGCTGGTGGCGCCAGGGGCCCCAAAGAAGCGAGGGATTATGCAGTTGAGTTTTTGCCTCATTACTTGGTAATGGTCTGACTCTTACTCAAGCAATTTTGCTCATCAAGAGAAAACATGGCTCAAAGCGCATGATTGGTCAAAGTCGATCCCAAAGAAAAGTATCGTTCTTCAACTGTCTTGTGTTGACCAACTGACATGACAGTTGTCAAATGTTGCAAACATTGAAGACTAAACAAACAACAAGTATAGGCATGCATGCATACACTTATCCTATCTTCTACTCGCTCGTTTCTGTGATCTTCTCCATTGCTCCATGCCATGGATACTGAAACAGATATATTGGTGGACCTCCTGACGTACGATTGCCCGTTTACTGGCCAAAAACGTACAGCTGGCTGTGACCCCATTAGTCTCCGGGAAGTGAAGTATCTTTGCTGCAACTGGAAGCCCATGAGATATCATCCTGAAGCTTGAGTAAATCAATTTCCTATACTCTGCAAATTGATCTTAGCATGTCGTGGGATATATCGCTCTGTGTATGTAATCCTAGGCGAGCCAAAGGGGATGGTTCTGATGAAGTATTCATGGAGTACTTCCAACGTGAGGGCCCCTGGAAATCTTCATCTTCAAAGCCTGCTGAAAAGGACTCTTCAACTTCGGCTGTAACATGGCAAGGATTCAAAGCCAACAGGTGGTTTAAACTATGTTTCAAAGCTTGACAAGTTGTCAAAATTATGTTTTTTTTAAAGCCTTATTTTGGGTCCCCTTCCACACTCAGGTGATGGCAAGCCAATGCACTGACTTGCATGACCTTGGGGCAACCTTTGTTGCTTCCTCTTTCGACTGGGGGCAAGTGAAAGCATTTGGCATTTCCATCCATTGTTTGCACATGAAGGCTTCAAAAAAAATAACATGTGGTAAAATACTTAGTTTTTCGAAGGACCAGGTGACATCCTTCCGAGAAAAAATTGGCATCCGTCTCTGTTGTTTCAAGATTGGGGTTACTTCAAACCCAATAACCCGCTTCGAGATGTACAAAAGAAAAGCTTTTACATCGATGTGGGTGATCTGGATGTCCGATAGTTTAGACCTAATTCACATGTTGGAAGCCTCGCTGATTTTGGAGTTCCACAAACATGTAGGGTGCCAAAATAAAGAGGGCACTGGTGGAGAAGGGTTTTTGAATAGCCAAGACCCACCACCTCCACCTTTTTTTCTGTATGTAACAGGAGGTAGGGCAGACCAACCTCGCAGAGTGGGGTGAACATTGTGCAGGGGTGCGCGCAAGAAGGGAAAACAGAAGGACACGCTTGTGTTGCATGTGCGTGTGTGTATGTGTTTGTTGTTTTGAATTTGGGCCTGGTTGAATTCCTAATTGTTTCATTGTTTCACTACTGACCCTGTGCATCCCCTATGGAGTGACCCTGACAGCCCTTGACATCGTATGATTCCTGTGTGTGCGCTGAGGCCCCATGCAGCCATGTGGTGGAACTAGCACGTGCAGAGGTGCAAACAAACCCCAATGCAGATCAACGGCTACGGGTCTTTGCTGGCATTAGAATTGCTGACGCTGAAGTTGGTTGCCATCAAGTATTCCAACGATATGGTTTGAGTGCTGCCGTTGAAATTGAGAAGTTGGAATTGTTTGGAATGAAGGACTTTCCATACATACCTTTTTCCACCTGGGCCCAGTATTTGCTTGACACGAACCGGTTCACACGACAATTATGTGGTTGCAGAGATTTCAATACCATGCGTTCTGTCTTGACAGAATTCTGGAGTCGATACCATGCCCTGTTCCCCAACCACGAGATCTTTAGCAAAGCTGATGCTGGAGAAGTAGCCTTGGAGCGTACAGTTCCTTTCTTTTCACACACGGATGAGGGGAGGTCCCAGAAACATGATCCCTTGTGGGTCTTGTCCTGCCATGGGGCACTGGGGCGGGGCACTCGCTTGTACCTGAAAATGAGGAAACACCGCAAAGCTGTGGGACAAAATGAGATGGGGCTCAATTTTGTGGGTCAAACCTGGTCGACACAGTTCCTGCTCGCCACAGTTCTGAAAAGGAAGGTAGAAGATTTTGATACTTCACTGGAGTTGTTGCTCAGGAAGTTCAGTGAGGATTGTTCCAACCTTGCTACGCGTGGACTTTCACATGAGGGTCAAACGATTTGGTTACTCCATTTGGGGACAAAGGGTGACCTTCCAGCCCTGAACAAGGCAGGTGGATTTACCAGAACCTTTCTGAACGTACCAAAACGACCTTCGACGAAGACACCATGTGAGGGAATTTGTTTTCTCTGTCTTGGAGGGCAGGAGTCCAACCCCCGAACTGGTGCTGCTGATGTCCCCTATGAAGATTTGGGGGAAAATCCTATTTGGGAGGGCACTATGCACAGTGTGGAACCTTGGACCCAACGACCTGAAATTGTGGGGAACACTCCAGTGAACCATGCAAGATTGGCAGATTTTTTTTGCCTTGACTTATGGCACCGTTTTCACCTGGGTGTCTGTAAGCATTTTGTGGCGTCAGCACTTGCGGTGATAGCAGAATCTGGGTTGCTGCCTCGCTCTTCTATGGAGATGAAATTTCAATCTATGACCCGAGAATACCGTGACTTTTGCAGAGATCAAAAGCTGCCCCTATGGATTACCGAGATTTCCCGGGAAACTCTCAATTTCCCCCAAGGTTCAGCACTGCCATTAGGCAAATGGAACAAAGGATCGTGCAGCACAACCATGATGTTGTTTTTGAATTTCTACTGCAACAAGTTTATCAATGGCAAGACTGACGACCCTGTGCTCTTGATGATTGTTCCTTGTTTTCTGGTGTTTATCATATTTTTTAACCTATATGTGCAATATGTTTTTAACCATTGATTATGTGGGCACCCTTGGGTGAATAGCTATCCTTGTGCTGCTGGCTCAGGCTGATGCAACCTCAGCGATGAACAAGGCCTTATCGTTTATGTACACTTCAGGTTTCTGGCTTCACCGAACCTATGGGATGAGTGTGGCTAAGCAAATGCAGTGCTTTTTGTGTGTGTGTACCAAAGGTGTGCGCATGCAATGTTTGTGGCAAACAAGAACCGATTCTCATTGGTACCCAAAACACACTACATGGCTCATATTGCTCTGGAAATGAGACGCCAAGCGGAAATTCATGAATGGATTTCGAATCCCCTGTCGCGCTCTGTTCAAGTCCAGGAGGACTTCATTGGCCGCCCCTCGAGGGTGAGCCGACGGGTGGACATTAGAAGAGTGCACAGGAATGTGATGCTTCGATGCCTGATCCTTTCGGAGCAGGCACTTCAGAAAAGTGATGATGATGACCGAGGCATGGATGCCTATATGTGAATGCTCGGAAAAAGTGTGATGAAAAGTCAAGGGAGGGTGAGGTGTGATTGTTTGTTTGGTCTTGTTTGAAGTATGTTGGAGGGGCGCGCACATTTGTTACATTCAAAGATGTTGTGTGTTGTTACAAAGACTATTTATCAAAGAATGCTAAGCCATATATAGAAAACATCAAAAAACACAAAAAGGCGTAATACCCGTATTTTGGCAAAAGGACTGTATTATGGGTAGCCAAGTGCAAGGACACCGTAACAAGGGATGTATGGGCAAAAAAGGCGACAAGCCGGTTCTAGGTATATATATACTGTAATTAGACACATTGCGGCAGAGTTCAATACTGGTAACCGGACCCGGATCAGTATTGAAACCGCTCGACGAGTTGCTCTACAGAACCAGCACAAAGAAATCCATGGCCAATCTCGGATGCCATGTCAAAACATGTAAACATATCACTCGTAATGTGGCAAACTCAAAAAATAGACATACTATTTCCATCTATTTCCGATTTGTTTTTCCTGTCTACTTATGGTTTTACTGGGATGGCCTTTGGAGTTACATGGAGTTACCACACTCAGAAAGCTAACATACACCGGCCTCAGCCGTGCCACTGCCCACAGCGGTGGCAGAGAAAGGCCCAGCACCCTTGACGGAGAGCGCAGAGATGTGTGGAGATGTGTGGAGTTGGCAAAAATTGGTTTCTCTGAAGATTTAGGGAGGGGAAGACCCGTAAATCCACTATAATCCACTCATTTATGATGTTTAATTATTTAATTATGTTCCACACGGAAATTGCCAAACGTTCCTGGTATATCTCATATTCAGACAAACGCGAGACGCAAGAATTTGACCCTCCATGGCTGGCCCCATCCTCCAAGTCCAGACGTTCCAGGAAATTGAGCAGCTCTGCAGCGGCGCTGTCGTTGCCCTGAAGCCAACGATGTCTGCCACATCGCCAATTTGACCGGGCCCCGGGCTTTTTTGAAATTTCATGAAGACTGTTGATTGACTATTTGTTTAGAGGTTATGCGAGTTGGGTTACGGACTATGTCTATGCACAATAGGGATAACATGGGATAACTATGAACCGACCGGAGAAAGATGGTCTTTCTATATGTGTTTCGCTACCATGGACATCAAACATCCAGTGGACAGCAACACACAGCAACACCCATGCGGAGCCTTCCGCGTTTGAAGATGATACTCCTCAGTTGGGGATCTTCAAACCACGTCCATCCCCGAGGTCGAAGCTGGGCTCCAAAACCGCTTCTGCTCGCAAAGCTTCAGCCAAGCCGGGCAAGCCGGGAGCGGCCTCGTGAAATCACTGGGGACTCCCCCCGAAATCAGTATCTCTTGGTATTCAACTCATTCAACTCCCTCTCTATCTCTCTCCATCGCCACTATGATTCAACCATTTTTTGACTTTTTCATACTTTTTCAAAAGCCATCTCAAACTGGTTGGTGTGTTCATAATTTTGAGCCATACCCCATTGTGCAAAACACACCAGATTCCATGCCACAGTGGCCAGATCCGCTGACAGCAATGCCTGATAACCAGCTCTGTATCTCCGACCTCGGTAGCGAGACAATCCAGGTGCAAGCGGTGCAAGTTTTCAATCCAAGTAATTTCATACCTTCACAAAACATTTTCAGGCTAGAACTCCAGGGTAGTACTCGAAAGACCTGCGGCCAAAGGGCCAGCAAATGGGCAAAGGCCAAAGGATAGGCAAAGGTTGAAATCCATGATATCAAACATGAACATGTGTGGAAGACCCACTTGCCAGCTACATGCAGCATTTTTATGTTAACAATGGCAAAACACCAATCTGTTTTCACCTGGGGCCAGGGCTCGTGAGACAAGTTCAGGCCTTGGATGGCGCAGCGGCCAAACGCTGGAAGCTGAGGCCCGCGCATCTTGCTGAGCAGTGGACAAGCGCAGCTCATGAAGTCTGCCGGATAAATCACTGATCACCTGTGCCCCCTGATTTTGGGATACTGACATTGAGGTGTCCTAATCAAAAATTCGACCTCGCCAAAATGGAAACCATATGGAAATGTCAAGCAACCACCTGTGGGGATCGTCTCCAGTAACCATGAATCACGTAAGGGTGCTCTGCTAAATCACATGTCTGCTAAATCACATGTCGATATGTCAATGACATGATTTAATATATATATATACATTATATATATATATATATGCGTGTGTCTGTCTGTCTGTGTGTGTGTCTGTTTTGCATCACTTCAGGACAATGCTGGAAGCAAATGCAAAACGCCCTTCTGCTGCCTTGACGAAACGGCACAGCTGCCTCCAAACCTAGCGGTCCAAGATCGGCAAAATCGCGGGTCTAGTAGGAGCATGTAGGAGCAAAATGGCAAGGGATTTTTTTTTAGTATATAAAACATGTTACGAATATGTGAAAACATGATATATTGAAGCTTACATACCACAAATAAACAGCATGAAAATGGGCGTCTGTGGTCTGTGACGGCCGGTTGGGACAACCAATGTTGGGGTCACAACTTCATTGCTGCTCACATGTTGACAGCTCTTCTGGGGATCCTTTGGCTGAAAATCACTCAGTGCTATCCAAAGGTGCTGTTTCAAATTTAATCCTCAAATCGGAACATGGGCCCTCAATTAATCTCTGTTGAAAGAAAGACAGAGATATACATTATATTAATACATACCCACCAAAAATCCCACACTTAGCATAGTGTTAAACCAACACACCTATCGTTTCAGGCCCCTTCCTGGATCCCTGGTACTTCAGCTCCTTTGTTCATCTTAGTTCGACGGCGCGAGTCGCCTGCTTGGACAACCACTGCGGGGGGCTGCCAGCAGCGCAAACGCCATTGCAAAGCGCCCAGAACCTGAGCCAAACGGACGATCAAATGCTGAGCCACCCAGCGAGCCAAACGGATTACCATGTATATACTGTATATATATATATATACACAATATATACACTATAGATTTTTCTGTAGATTAGAATGAGGATACAATATTATACCACCAGTAAATGGATTCAAATGTTTAAATCTGATTGAATCCAAAGTGAATCTCAGTTGGAACTCATCATCCCCATGGACCAACCAAGCCGAAGTCACGTGGAACGCGGCAGCTTCACTTGAGCAGCACTGCATGGCATCCTCCTGAGGACCTAAGACGTGCCCTAGAAACACAGCAGCGGTTCAGACTTTGCTAAATAAGTTGGGGCTAACCGATCAATGATAAATGTTAAGTTGGGGCTAACCGAACCTTTCGCAATGAGCCAAATCAATCCAAATCAATGATAAATTGAGTTGGGGCTAACCTATCTTCCAAGAACCCCATCTGGGGCTGACCATAGCCCATGCCGCATTGCGAAAAAGTCACTGAGAACCCCGGCTGCCTGGATGCTTGATGCGGCCGGACGCGGAAAATCTGGTTGTGACAGTCTTTGTGACCACCATGCCTTAGAGCTGCCATGAGACCAATCAGATCCTTTGGTTCTGATGCACTTCAGTAAGCTGCTGTAGGATTGAAGCGGAAGGCATGGTCAAGCCTCTCTTTTTAGCTGGGTTGCTGATTTGCTTGGGGGAACACGCCGCATAACAAAGATTGCATCAGAATACCATTTGTTTATCTGGTTGATTGGTTCAACCCTGTATATATGTGAATATATATATATATAATATATATAATTATATATACATGCATATAAAATCACACATATATATATATATATCATAATGTTGGATAATCCCAATCAGGTTCAAAACAAACAATTGGTGGGGCCCCGCACGGTTGCGAAGTCAGCATAGCAGCTGGGGCACAGCCACGGAGATGGAGGGCCCCTGACAGGACACCGAGGGGCCAGCCAATGTTCACTTTGAAGCTTCGGAAGATAATCCTGTGACTTAAGGAGTGCCCAAACACATCCAAACACTTAAGAAATAAATCATGACGTATAGGAAATAGACTTGAAGATCTCAGTGTATGATGAGATATCTGAGATACAATTACTATCTATCTATCTATCTATCTACCTACCTATCTACCTATCTACCTATCTACCTATCTACCTATCTACCTATCTACCTATCTACCTATCTATCTATCTATCTATCTATCTATGGACCTATCGACCTATCTATCTATCTACCTATCTACCTATCTACCTATCTACCTATCTACCTATCTACCTACCTATCTACCTATCTACCTATCTATCTATCTATCTATCTATCTAATCTATCTAATATATCTACCTATCTATCTACCTATCTACCTATCTACCTATCTACTATCTATCTATCTATCTACCTACCTATCTACCTATCTACCTATCTACCTATCTACCTATCTACCTATCTACCTATCTACCTATCTACCTATCTACCTATCTACCTATCTACTATCTACCTATCTACCTATCTACCTATCTACCTATCTACCTATCTACCTATCTACCTATCTACCTATCTACCTATCTACCTATCTACCTATCTATCTATCTATCTATCTATGTATCTAATTTATCTATATATTATTTCCAACTGATCGCTGGGTATCGGTGGGTATCTCCGTCTGCGCAGCCTTTTGAAGGACATGGGGCCCCGCCTCGGCTCAGCGCTCTGACAGATCTGAAAGGGAGCACACCGCACGCGGATTATCAGCGTCTGTACCTCTTTAAACAATTGGGATATTATATGATATACCGCATGCATATATATATAGAGAGAGAGAGAAGTCTGAGGTATACCCCAATTTTGTACAAAGCCATTGGGCATCTCTTGGGGCCAAAGGGCGCTGAAAGAGGATGACAGCTCTTAAATCCTCCTATCCTTTGTTCCACACACCTTTTCCGAGGGGGACAGCCAAGATGTACTGAAAATTGAGCCATGGACCCAGCTGGCACTCCACTACAGGCAGTGCCAGCTGCCAAATGCTGGCCCTGACCACATACCTGGCATATGTTGCAATGACCAAATGGGTCGCATTTTCGGGAAAGGCAGAAAAT